GAGTACCACTGGTTCTTTTCAGAACCGCAAATACTCACAAAGGAGATATGTCCATGGTGCTACCGCAAACCTACTTTCTAATTTAAAGTAGGCCTACTTAAAACGGAGAACAAACTAAGTACTTTTATAAGTGCAACGCATACCTTACAGTTTTGGAAGCACTCAAGCATTTTGAATTACTTAGTGCCCTAATCCCCCCATACGTTCAGTACACACGAGCAATGCGCACGAGGAAGTGTTGGCCCAAGATCTAAATCTTAAAATGATCTCCATCCAATATGCACTCGACAAAACAAAAATAAGGTCAGAGCCCAAGGCTTAACCATAGTTCAAGCATACTGCACCTCCCCGCACCACATCAGCCACAAGATGGCTGTGGATGGGTTTGTGATATTTACAACACCTCAAGAAAATTAACACGCTCACTTTGGAGAACTTCTCAAAATGCTGCAAACAACTCGGAGCATTTTGTTATTTCTCTTAAATTATGAATTCTCTCGAAGTGTGTCTCTAAGGCATGATGGTAACAACCTGCACGGTGACGCTGGAGCAGTTTAGCACAGTGAAATGTCCACAACTGCCAAAACATTTCGTAAGGGTGTATTAAGAAGTATAACGACCAGAATGTCTAAGTATAATATTTTGAAAGAAACTTGTTTGGGCGTGTAATGCCACCTACAGGGGTTTCTACGTCATACAGACCAATTCAATAGCCTGCTTTTATCACTTGGTGGTCGCTTTCGCAACATAGACTCACAGCATTGCTGTTCATCGAATCCGTAGGGACAGTCCTGCAAACCATTGCAAACAGCGCGAGATGAAATACAGAGCGTTGAATTCCCACACTGGAAGTCAGGCACACCTGAACACTTACTCGGCGCTGCAGAAAAGAACAGCCATTAAGGACGGGTGAAAATGAAGAAAAAACATTCTGGGGCAGATAAATGCTTTGCAACCTTTCAAAGATAAAATAACTATTGCTATGGTGAGTTCTTGAAAGAAATTCTTGAAAGCTGGCAGAAACGCACATTGTTGTGCCAATAGAGCTTACACTGAGTCTTCTACTCTGATAATTCCCATCACACGCGTACATTGCCAAAACTTTATCGCAAGTCGCGTCTAAGGCAATTTTAAAAAGCCATAAATACACAACACATTTTGATGTAAGATTCTACACGAGTTTGTTACATGAACATCGCCCCCTGCATAGTGTATATTAGAGTGTAGTGAATTTTATGTTTAATTTAGTGAAGTTAAAAGTTTAATTTTAAGTTCTGAACAGCTTAAATGGTGTTTTGGCAATATTTAAGACTTACCATATTGAAAGAAAAATTCCCAAAAAAATTGCCAAACCTAAAAAATGGATTGAAATTTCTCCCATAAAGTCTTGAGTCATGATGAACCAGCTTAGTGTTTTTCAATATGTTTTAAGCTTTGGTTTCTTTTTTTCTGTGGAGTTTTCTTTGGTTTTTAAAATACAGCTCTAAAACCTC